CCGTCCCTTGCCTTGCTAAATTTTGTTTTTGTAAAGTAGTAAGCAGCATTTCGAGCGTTTTTTGATTTAGATCTACGGGATGCCCTCCCTGCATGAAGACTATGCAGCGCTGGAGGTGCCAAAAATTGACCCCCTTGTCCATTTTTGACTTGTATAACCCCGTCTGCGCCAGTCCCTATTTTAACACAACACCGCCGCTCATGTAAGTGCCTCAAACTGTTGGAACTGTTCCAAATGAAATACATCGGTCTTCTCGGCTAGCCAGCCAAATCTCCTGGTCCGATAGAGAACCTATGGAGCATACTCGCACGGTTTGGTACGCCATTGTTTTGGAAAAAAAATGAAAAACTTCATAATTTTTCTTCCCAATTTCACTTATACATTTGTACCTGGTGTAATAATGCATTGTTGATAAAAATTTGGAGAGAAATCATTCGCCCATTATAGAGATATGGAAGAAAAATAGGGTGTCCCTATACTTTTGGTACACGCTGTGTACTTCTACTATGCCCCGATTTAGCCAGAAAACAACTTATTGAGATATCTAGCTCCTTGATTTTCCGGGGAGTGAAGTGGCTTTGGATACTGCCAACGGAGATTCAAAAGGCTCAAAGTGTCAGCATTTTCAAGTGGAATTTAGGAAAGTGGATCTTTTAGTGCTTCTTGGCATTCAAGACTTCTAATATGCTTCAAGATTTTTTCTCAGTAGTCGGATATTTACTCGCAACGTTTCCCCGTGCGCTCAAACTGTAGTTACCGTAGTTAAAAAGGTAATGATAGTATGTAATTCTTACTTTTCTCTGTGCTGGTTTTTTTGATTGAACAATCACTGATCCTATTGAGCCTACTGTGGTATGCTGATTTACCTTAGCAGTTTGGGAAGGGATCTCTACGTTGATGATGAGCGAGCATCTTCGGATTTTCTTTTTCTGAGGAAACTATATTTAATTGAGTTTAGATTGTTATTATAGATTGAGTTAGTCTTCGAGATGGGTCCGACGCTGAATATTAGGGGTAGGGAATACCTAACATCCGAAAATTCAGTTTCGGATTCCGTACGTATGCTCCGAGCTCGTCTAGGAGTGGCGTTATCCCTAGCGCCATGCCGCCTATCTAGAGTGATCCGGTGGTGAGTACGTGGTCTGCTTTACAATTTTCTGATTACTCTGAAATTATAAAACGTTAGGCCGACTGAATAAATGTTCTACCTATCAACCTCGAGCGGTAGAATAAACAAACACAAATCTAAAATTATAGTTTTTTCTCTCTAATTATAGTCGCATAGTAGCTTCTTTTCCTAAGTTGATCTCGATCAAACTTCATTTGTTTATGCGGTATTCTACTGGCTATAATATAGCGCACCTATGAGTGTATAAAGGAACAAATTCCATATTTCTTAGATATGCTGCAAAAATGATCTTGCACAACATTATATCAGACCTTCTTGACAGACATTTGAATTTGATGGTGGCAATTGCCACTGCAGTCTCAGCAAGGTCCATACCATCGAAAATAATGGTGTGGAAATGATGCTCTAGCCCTAATAAAGAGCATAAAAAGTGTCGCTGAACTAAAAGCTCACCTTGGACAGCGCTAGAAGGGAGTCAGACGCTTCTTTTCCGCTCACTTGCTAGCCGTAGAGATCGCGTATTTTGCTGCGGTCTTCACGCGCTTGCGCGCAAACTGTGCCGCGTTTTAACAATTAATGCTGCCTCTTTTAATTGGTTTTCTTGCTTAACTCATTCAATTAACTATTTATTTCTTTGAAGTGACGCATATGTCTCCGTTTGCTTTGGTGTATATGTGGTTGCAGCCGCAATTCTTGCTGGCACAAGCCAGCAATATGCAGGCGGAGCAACCCTTCCTTCACTGCAAAAGGAACAGATAAATTCCTTGTTCGAAGTTTCCCTGGAGGTTTTCCTTGCTCCTTTTTTTTGCAGTAACCCCGCCATCCGCACTTTCATTAACCACCGTTTTTTACCCGCGAATTCAGTCTGGCATTGTTGATTCAGCCAGGAAGGCAACTTTGCTTGGCTAGTATTTTGATTTTGTCGCACATCGTGTCACAAGCTACAATCAAACGGAAAGCCGGCTGTCTAATTGAACAGTGGCGGTCAAAAGTTTGAAAACGTTTTTGTTTGTGTCCCAGTGCAGTCAGTAGACAACGGAATCGTTCCAAATTCACATATTACACACAAAATCAAGTGCAGAATACGATATGCTTAATAACTTCGTCTAACATACCCCCGGATGCAAAAGCGCTCATACGGGCCTACAAAACGTATGTAAGGCCCATTCTTGAGTCTGGGACAACAGTCTTTTCTCCCTTCAAAAAAAAAAAGATATTCGTCTTTTAGAAAGCGTTCAAAATAGCTTTACTCGTAAACTTGCAATGCGCTGTTCTGGGTTAAGTTATGAATTCATTCCCAATGGGTTTCAACGTCGCCGCATTTTTTCCTTGTCTAGTCTCTTTGCTCGAAGAAAGGTTAATGACATT